CCTGAATGCAAAGTGCAGCAACCTCTCCCAAACCTATAGCAGTGCTTTGATGTGACAGATCATAAAAAGCAGGCGCTGTCAAAAGCTGATGTATGGCAGAGTAAAAGGGCCCCAAGGTCAGAGAGCTGTCCTTCAATAGAAATCACTTTCCTTTTTCCTGTCCTAATTGGGGGTGCATTAGCATCTTATGAACTGCTAAATTGTCAGATTTTTTTTTTCCCAAGGATTTTTTCTTTTTTAAGGAAAGCTTTTATTTAAAAGATACTTTCTTGAATTTTCTGACCATGGAGGGACAGCTTCTGGTCTGCATTAATTTCACATTAACCTACATTTTTACCCCACATCAGAAAGTGGCAAACAGCAAGCAGAGAATTTAGCTGAGAGAAGACAGTAAATGTGATAGAGTCCATATATTACTATCAAATAACAAGCAGAAAATGACAATTCTGTGAACGTGCAGGAAGCTCTGAAATCTGTAGCATGCCATATTTTCAATTTTGCTGGGTAAGAAGCATATCTAATGAGTGCTATGTGCAATAAAAGTACACACCAGTCTCCCCCTGCAATCAGCCACAGGTGAACAAGTCTCACCAGTGATATTCAAGCTTTCCCAGCACTAACATCAGTGCTGGCAGGGACCAGTTGGCCTCATTTAATTAAAGCCTTTATTTTCTGAATACCAGCACTATCTACACAGAAAAGCTGCAAGCAGCTGCTTCAGAGAGGAATCAAGACTTCTTTTCACATAAACTACATGAAAAAACAATGATGGACAAATGGAGTAATGGTATGTGCTCTACCAGCACTAGGAAGGCATTGAAGAGACACAGGTATCATATTTAATCACCGGGACATTAACTCTGATTATTGGGCAGGAATGTGAATGACAAATCACAGAAAAACTCATCACAACAGAGCCCCTCCTCACTGGAGCTGAAGATAGTTCAACCCAAACTGTGCCACAACAGATTATAAGCCTCAGGCCCTTCTATCGTTTTTCCTGACTATGCCAAATCTCTTGGTATTTTTGTTTCCCTGTTTAATTTGCTGGGTTTATTAAAGCAGCCTGTGTTGCAGAACAGCTTCATTTCCAATGCTGGCAATGTTCCATTCTGGGATTAGCAGCTTTTGTCCAGGTCACCTGCAGAGTTCAGAGCCTCGACACGAGATGCTGAGGAGATAATTGAAACTCTTAATATCTTTGAGCTTCTCTCCTCTATGCTCCTGGATTGGCACCATCTCCAGCCTTGGATGAGGATCAACTCAGCAGGAACACACAGAAAGCAACAGGTTTTTGTTATTTTGGCTGAAAACTCTGGCCAAGTATTGATTTTCCCATTTTATGCATAAAAATAAATGGTAATTTCTGATGGAGCAGGGGGTGACACAGCAGGCCACCCCTCACAGTCCTCCTGGCATCTTGCCTTCTCCCAGCCTCCAAAGATGTAGCACCTGTCTCCTGCATTGGGCTTTAGAGGGAACTTGAGCTCGTCAGGAAAATAACCAGAATTTCTATAAATGCTAAGGTAGGCGATAATAACATTGTTATTGATAGTTTTCTATTGTTTCTGAGGCAAATGATGTCTAGAGAGATTTAGCCTTTATTTAGCTATAAAAAATAAGCTGATGAAGCAACCTGAGAAAAAGTGCAGCTACCTCTTAATTACATTTTAGGGATAACTGATACCTCATATTGGAGCTGGCAGCACTTGATATAAAAATCAATATATTTGTGAGAAATGGGAATGGCTGAAATAGTCTCAATGCTTTTGGATGATGTGTGACTGGACTGTGCCGTGCCCATATCCTGTCTCACTCATTCCTGATGTCCAGACTCTTTTTGGTTCCTGTCCAACCTGACAGATAATAGCAGCTGTCACTGAAATCACATCAAAGCAGCACAGGAACATGATTAAATCAGACAGCCTCCAGGGAAATTCTCAGAAAGAGCTTGAACTGGGAGTTTGTATGGACTGAATGACAGAACTCAGAGCAAGGATTTGGAATGACTTCCAGACTCCATTGAGAAAGTAATTTCATCTGCCTGAACCTCAAATTTTCCATTTGCATACCAGTCCTGCCATGCAATGCTCTTTCTGAGAGGTATATGATCACACAAGAAGCTTTGAAATTCTCTGTGAAATTGCATTTTTTAGGGTTATTTGGCTTGCAGACCTCAACGGAGCAGAATCTGAAGTCATTGATTTCCTACAATCCTGAACCTTAGGGGAAGGGAGTCCTAATTTCTCATGAATACACAAACTTCTCTATATATTTTACAATCACTTATTTGCTATATGGTTTCACAGACTGGATGGTTTTATAAGTACATGCATTAAAATCAATGTATTCCAAGATTAGTGAACTTTTCCTCATGTTTTACAATTTCCCAGCTCTTTTTCATCTACTAAGACATTAAAAACAATGCCAGAGTTCTGTAGGCTTGGTTTTAACAAACCCAAACAGCCACTTCAGGACAGCACATGGGAAAACATCACGCTGTGGATAATGAAGCTGAATATGAGACATTTATTTCTCCCTGTGCGTCATTTCCCACTGCCTGTGATTTCAAAACTGCCAAGGAGTTACAAAACCAAACATCACAGCACAGAATTTCCAGCCAGCATCAGTCTCCAGCTCCATTTGCTCAACTCCATTTGCCAAGGATGGATACATGGGCTTGGCCTCATCCCTCTTTTAGTTATTTATGATTTACTGTGTTAGCTCCAAACAGGGCAGGCAGGGGCAGTTCCATCAATAAAAGGCTGGAATAAATAACTGAAACTCCACCAAGGGCAGCATAGACACAACCCTATTTAAACAACCCGTCTTTGAGGTCAACTATTTATTATCTGCAGTATTTGGAACCTGTCTTACTGCTCAAGGTCAACACACAAATGGTGGACAGTCACACCCAAAGAAGAAAGAAACCTAAGCTTTTGTATTTTCATACCTTTTTCATTGAAATTCTTTCACACAGACTATTATACCAAATGTGTACCACCAGAGTATGGCTGGAACTAATAGAATAAAATTTCAGTAAAATACTCAAACCACTCACTTGAGTAACAGACAAAAAAAAGCCCTAACAAGGTGGAGTCATAATGCCTGCAGTCAAGACATGAAAGGAAAACACAGAACAGATGAAGGCCATCAAAGAAACAAAAGAAAGTGATTTGGGAATAAATTTCTAGATTTACACATTTGGCTAGTACACAAACATCTGGATCTCTCAGCTACTGGAACGTTGTCATTTGGATTAGCTCCACAGTCAGCATTGCATCTTGATCCCAATCAGACTATTTGGGATGCCATTGCAATAAAATACAGCAGCTGAAAACATTCTCTCCTTTCCTACTTATGTTCCCCAGAACATGCTGTGCCCTCTGTCATGCTCACTGTTCGTTCTCTTAGCAACAATACACCATTTTAGTGGGACTATTGGTATTTTTTTCAGTGTGGCAAACATTCAGCTCTGCTCAATAAGATCAAGCACCTTCCAGTGACCCTGTCAATGACACATTCCCAGAATACAGCTGGCTTTCCAAGCATCCTTTTGGATCATAGAACCATTGTAAAAACAGACATGTAAGATACTGTATACACACTTAAAACAGTCCCTGTAAGAGCTGAGACAGTTCTTTAGATTAAAAACTATTTTAGAGGGGTAGCACATACATTCTTCGTGTTTATCTATACACTTGTTCTCTTTTCACTTAGCATTAATATTCCCATTTATGCTTCTACAAATGCTGATGCAAAGCAATATATGAGGTTATATCCAATGATATAATTTAAAGTGGCAAAGCAATACCCAGATGTAACTTGACCTCCATAAACCATTTCAGCCTTTGTATTTAAAGTAGTCATCATCATAAATCTCCCTCCTCCAACCCCAGTCATTACAGCTGCATACAGAAGAGGGCTCTCTATTCCAGTGCTTGTGTTTTGGTATCTGACATACGTATTCCATCCTGGACTCCCTGCAGTGCTGTTTCCCTGGCTGCATTCCCAGGATCCTGTGCTGCATCATCTGTACAGGTTTTCTTCTCCCTGCCTGGCTCCTCCCAAGCATCATGCCTCTTTATTGGCTTGTGAATCCCAAATTCCTTTGGATACAGCTAGTCACTATTAAATTTGAGGATTTACACGCTGATTAACAGCAGAATTGGATCTGTCTTTGTGTTACTATGAAACATTTGTGCTGTTACAAGACACACCATTTTCTTCCAAGAGTATATAAAGGTTTTTATATTTCATTTCTTTAAAAACAGAAATCCCTCTCTGGTTAGTAACACTGTTCTGTCACACAGTCAATACCTGCAAAGGCTGTGACAAATAGGGAGGTCATGGTCAAATTTAATAAGAGCTCACATTCCCTTGGAAATGCCACCAGGGAGCAGACAAAAGCAAGCATTTGCTGAGCTCCTGGGGGAAAGCAGAGCGCTTGCACCGAAGCCCTTGGTATGCAGATGGTGTCGCTGCCTTTCCAAACAAGCTTAGGTTTGAAACCTATGGGAACAAGCTGATGGGCTGAGACTGCTGGGGAGAGCGTGCCCCGGGCTAGCTCAGGAGCAGCACAGGCTGCACAGGAGGATGCCCAGGGCTGGCTCTTTGTTCTCACACCTCTGCGTGTCGCAGGAGCAGCGGGGAAACAGCTCTGCTCACTCCGTAGAGACAGAAGAGAGAATGGTATTGACAAACGGGGAAAACCTCAGGCAGCGAGCTCTCCGCTGCTGTCCTGCTCTGGAGACGGGGGGCTGGGTCCCCGGCTGGGTCCATCCCACCCCGGCCGGGACGGGCGTGGGCCACCGGCGCCACCGCCTGGCTGCTGGGGCTGCCCAGGCTCCTAAAACCATCCAGCGCATCCCTTTTCGCTTCGTGTCCCCGGCTCCGGCCCGACACTGCTAGGACCTTGGCAAACCAAGCGACACTCAGAGCACGGCTCACAGCACCTTTGTGCCTACCTGTGCTGGGCTTCAGCCGGCTCTCGGCAAGCTCTGAAATGGCTCCTGCTGTGATGGTCTTCTTCAGCCTGGAGACCCCCGCAGCTGCTGCTGGCCCAGGTTTGGTGAGCATGTCCTCGCTGCTTGCCCGCTTCAGCTGTGACACAGAGGGTGAAACAGGTCAGGACCCTGAATATTCCCATCAGTTAGTTTAAAATGCAAGATTCCTTGGAAAAAAATAACATTTCCGTAAAGTAACCCCACGGGAATATTGCCTTGATAACTGGAGTACATAATTTTTGTATTTGCACTGCATTCCAGGTTTTTGTGAAGTGGGTTAAGAGATAAAACACTTTTTCAACAATGAAGAATAAAAATGGGAAAGACTGTTCAAAAAGGCAAATAATTGAACAGCAACGAGAAACCAAGGTCCACTGGCAACTTTTGGGGAAGGAATCTCTGATGATACAAGTCTACTCTAAGTGCCTACTCAAGAAATCCATGGAGCAGAAGCACAAAGTAAGATTCAAAGAGAAACACTGAAATTATCTTGCTTCAGCAAGCAGAAATTGCAGCTTATCTCAGAACTTTGGCCAGCTGATTTCCCATTTGTGTGCCTCTAGTAACAGTTTCTAATTAATTTCAGGAAAAATACTTTAAGTATTTTAAGACCAAAGCTTTGGAAAGTCTCCCTAGAGCAGTAGTTTTCCTATACTTTTGAATCTCAGTAGTTTTCCTATACTTTTGAATCTGTGGACACCTAAAGTGTTTTCTCAAATGAAAATCCACCTCCTTTGAAGTTGTCCAGTGCCAGCGGGGGTCCCTGAAGCACAGGCTGAACACCACGGCTGGGTTAAGAGAAAAGAGAGCACACAACAAGCACTGCCCCTATTTAGTGGTTCCAGAATGTGAGACATTTAAGCAAAATGAAATCTTTCAACTCTAATTCCTTCTCCCTTTCATCTCCTCCTCTGACTCAGAGGCTGTGGTTTCCTGGACCCTGTAAGCCCATAAGTTTCAATAGCTGAACTGTTGACGATGCTCCAGGATACCAAACAAGGAACATTTTGCCTTCTGGCAGAGGTTTTGTCAGCTCAGTCTTAGGAGGAGAATGGAACAACCTGACTTTCTGACCTTCAGAGAGTTCTGCAGTCTCTCTGAAGTAATTTCTTCAATGTGTTCTTTCCTATACCAGCAACTACAGCGCATTTTCTACTCCTTTTCTTCAAGGAAGCCAATTTGGTAATTTTGCATTTGCAGCTGGATGACAATTTGAAGGCATTAGCTGTCATTAGGAAGAAATCTCTCCACAATTAACACTAAATTTAACAAATCAATCGTACCAGATTTCCTGATTAGTGTACTCAGTAGCATTCCTTCAGAGATGCTGCCTCAACCACACAGTACAACTTGCCTGGAGCACTGAAATACCCTATTGGTAAGTGCACAGCAAGGTCAATAAATTAATCCTTTCCTTGAAAATCTGTGACAATGAATGAAGTTTTAATCGAGATCTAAATACTGTACCCTGCTATCTACCGTTAATTAAACTTTATTACTGGAAAGTTACAACCTTGATCTGGATTTGGATGACAAGGTTATTTCTCTTTGCTGGCTGCAAGAGTGCAGATGCAGCAGCATTTCAGGTGCATTACTCAATTTTCTTAAAAACATTACTTGGACAGAAGTTTCTGTTATTTTTTAAATATATCTGTATTAAAAAATAGGATTCATAAAATGCATTTGTTATATTGCAATGTCTTCTGTTAAGATACTTTGCCTTGAAGGAAGAGGCACAGGTTTTAAGAATGCTGGAAATTCATTAATAAATCTCTTTGAATTTCTTTACATGTGTAACTATCAGCTGAACTAAGGATTTGCCATTTGTTTTCCCCCATCTTCAAAGTTTAGGCAATTCCCTCACCCAGAGAGCATACAGATACAGTACATGCAAAATACTTTGAGAAATATGTATTAATCTAATATACAACAAAACATAAATCTCCCTATACTTAACACAGTGGTTGTAGTAGTTTGAGGACTAAAGCAAAGCTTTAACCTGGAACAAGACTGGAATGCTTGAACAGTTTCCAAGGATTAGTACCTTGCTGAGCCGGGATTCAAAGGCAAGGGAAGTGGAGGATTTGGATGTCTTCATTCCTGTGGAGGTGGTGGAAAGAGGTTTTCCTCTGTCAACCCCATGGCTCCCTTGCTTTGCTATTGTACTCCAAGGCCTGGCACTACTCTTCATTTTCTTCCCAAGTAATTCAGTCTACAGACTCTAAAAAAAAAAAGTTTATATGTATTTATGCAGTCATACAAAAATATAACTTATCTTTTTTGACCTGAAAGGCAAGAGAGACATCTGGCATAAGTTTAAAGGGCTAAAAAGGCCATGCTAAACTCCCACAAACATCAGCACTGAGCCTAGAAAAACCTTCAGAGCAGGCCACAGCCACTTTTACTTTTCATACCAACCACAGAAGGAAAATTAACTTTTCTGGGGACTGTTTAAGTCCCAAAGCCTCACTCAGGCACAGCAGAACACCTGTGAGTACTGAAGCACAATGAAAGAGTAACTGAGAACATTGAAGCCCACAGCAATTTAAAACAACCCTGGGATAAAAGGAAAATAACTTATTTTACCATTAGATCCAGCATTTTCAACTGAAATAACATTCACTTTTAGAAAGTCACATGAGAAACAAGTTTCCTCAGATGGGTAGAAAATATATCATTAACTTATCAGAGTCTTCTGGAGGAGCAGCAGTTGATGTTGCCACAGTGATAAAAAGATGTTCCACAATACCAAGACTCACAAAACATAGTAAAAAAAAAATCAACTTCCTTGCAAACAAAGATCCACATCCACTATTCCTCAGAGATAAGCTTATGCAAGAGAGAAATCCTGCCAGGAATCAGCAAACAGACGTGATTTCCTTTTTTTGGATGTAGCTGAAGACATTTCAGCTGCCAGCAGGAACAACTAGCTTGTTTCCCTCAGCAGGCTGACAGCTGCCAGTTAAACAGCTCCCTCCACTCCTGGAGATCTAAACCCATACATTTTCACCAGCCATTGCCTAATCCACCCCATGAGCAGAATAACAGAATTATTTGGATATTTTTTCCAAGTCTCACCATCCTGCTGGGCTGGGAATGAGGGAGGGGAGGTGGCCTGATATCTCCTGTCCTCCTCCACTTCGTATGAGCAACATTTTTCTTCATTTTCCAAAATAGACACAGGATGTAGCTGTGGCTCAGCCTTGTGTAGGCAGAGGGTAACTTGTCTGTTGAACAGGTAACCAGAATATCTACAGGCACGGGCTTTTAAGAATCCTGGAGATTCATTAATAAATCTCTTAGATTTTTTTTATATGTGTAACTATAAGCTAAACTAAGAATTTGCCATTTGTTTTTCTTCATCTTCAAAGTTTAGGCAATTCACTCACCCCCAGAGTGCCCAGTGCCTGGCAATGTGCTCAGAGGGAGAGTGAGCTCGGACAGCAACACTTTGACAGAGACACTGAAACAATTTATTCCTGGCTGAGTCAGGAGGGGCTCTGGTCGGTCACATTTTACATCTCATCATTTGCTTTATACCTGATTTCACATTCATAAATCAGAGCATTCACTGAACTCCCAGGACACAGCTCTGTCTGGGGCCAAGGTGGATTTTTGACAGTGGCAGCACCTTGCAGGTGGCACCACGGTCTGTTCAGGGAGTGCTTCTGCACGGAGGTGAAGGCAATGTCAAGTGCTCAGCTGCTGCTCCCCAGAGAACAAAGCCAGCAAGTGACATTCACTCTATTTGTCCTTGGTGCCTCTTGCAGGGGGGGCTGTCTGCTCTCTCCACAGCAGTTCCCTATCAGCTCCTAAATAAAGGAATTAAAAAGTTAGTAGTTGTTGCTAAGTATAGGCATTACTCCATTAAAATTCTTATCACATCCAGTGAGAAGCCATCCACTACTCTCATTAAGAGCCTTTGGTGATGATTATGCTGATCACTGTTTTAAAGCCCTGACAGATACATAAACTATGTTACAATAGATTATATTATTTAGCACTCCCACAGCTCATGATCCACCTTAGCAAGCTTTGGTGCTTTACAATATTTAAAAACCTATCTTTTAACAGGCTCTTAATCCTTTTAATGGGCTTTTAACGTTCACTGTATTTATATGGGTGAACAGGCAACTACACATGCAAACTCTCTTGCTGATTAGATCTCCAAATTATGCAGATTTTGGTTTTTTGCAGATCCAGTGGTTGCACATACACTACTTTATTATACCCTATGGTTTTCTTCATAACAGTACCTCATATTTTCCTGCCTTAAGCTGTACAGATGCTTTCTTGATATCCAAAGGAATTTAATTTTGAGTCATCCATGACATTTTCAAGTTGCAGTGGAGTGATATGCTCATTAGACCATGATGTTAGGAGTAAAAGGAAGAGGTACTTAAAGAAAAAAAAAACCCAAACCACAACTCAAGAAATCCAGCCAGTAGCCTAAGGCAAACTGGCTTCTTCATGTAAAGAGAGCTGAATTATTTGCCATGCGGATTCAATAACATTTTACTGCACCGAGCAGATGAAACTAAAATTGAGAAGAAAAACCTGGATTTTTTAGTGTTTATTATTAGTTTTCCATGTATTTAGAGGAGAACTGGCATTTATAAAAGATGGAGTTAAGACTTCTCAGGTGTTTGGCTAACCTGAATTTGCCTTGTAGATAAAGATTTCCATCTCTGAAGTGGGATTCCAAGATTTTCCACAAGCCTTATATGTACTTCAAAGCATCAAGCCAGGTTGCACACATCCTAAGCTGCTTTCATTCCTAAGTAGGTGACACATATTTGAGTTATTAGAAGTACTGCTTCAGTAGTGCAAAATAAAAGTACTTTAAAAAAAAGTGGAAAAAAAAGTCCTGCTGTTCTTTGATGTGAGCAGAAAATCCATTCTCAGAGTCACCACCAGCTTTCCCCCTCCTCCAAATGCAATTTATTGCATTACAATGAACCAAACAAAAGAAAAATGCTCCATGGAAGTTGTGAGCAGTGGGGACAATGGAAAACCCTGGAGTTCAGCATCATGAAATTGCTCATGGAAGGAGCTCATGGTAGCAGTGAACCAAAATATTAACTCAGCTATCCCACATGTCTGCAGCCAGGCAGCAATCAGGACACCCAACACTGGCAAGGAGGTTTCTCTTATCCTGGTGTAGATACAGCACATTATTAAAAACATCAAATCCAGCTATTATCTACTTGTGTCTTAGAAGTAACTCTGCTGTATTTTCACTAAATATCAGCCCTTGCTTCCACAAGGACCCCAGGGAGATTGATTTGATCTCTAGG